TTCTCTACTTCTCTGAGGCTTAGATAATAATAGTGCCTACCTCAGGAGAACATGAGTTTTTCTTTATAAAAATTTTAAAATGCAATAAGCCTAACATATGGAATATAATCTATATGAACAACAAATAGATGTTATATAAAATGCAATAAATAAATACAAATAAAATAAGGAAACAGCCCACAAGTATGAAAAATGGGCAGTGAGTAATATGGTAGGTGATGTAGCTAGAAAGGTATTCTGGAAATGGTTCACAGGTGTCTTTGAATGTCTTCTTAATGAATTTGGAATTAGTCCATGAGGAGCACATAAAATCCATTCCCACATGGCTGAAGCACACAGTGGCTGTCTTTTTTAGAGAGGATGTGCATTCTCTAGGTTGTCATACTTCCCAACAATCCATGTTTCAACCCTCCCTACTGGAGTGGTGTTGTATCCATTGGCCTGGGTTATAAAGGGCTCTGCTTGTATAACAAATGCTCGGGTGATGCTGATGCTGCTAGTTCAGGGATCATACTATGAGAACCACTAATTTATTGTATCTTGGACTCTAGATGAGGACTCAATTGCCATTTATCATTTATTTTGTACTATGGCGTATTACATATCTAGCACATTCTATGCCATTTAATGCTATGTTCTTGGCCCCAGTATGGGTAGGATAAATGGGCCAGAGAGAAAGAGATTTGGAAAAGGCTGAGGCTCAATCTAAATTAGGGTGATGGGTAGCTGAAGCTAGAGGTATGTGTGAACTCATCCCCAGGGAAAGTGTGCAGGAAGAAATGGATGAACAGTCTAGGGGTGGGCACTGGCACACTCTACTGCAAAGAAAAGGTAGAAGTACAGTAACTGACAGAGAAGACAGGAAAGACCATTCAAACAGGTAGGAGGATTACAGACAGTGAGCTGATGGAGATTTTTCAGCTTTGTTATTAGAGGGAAGATCGTGGGCAAACATCTGAGGCCAAAGCTTAAATAGTTAAATAGTGAGGTACTTAGGTGAGCTCACCGACTGTGGGAGGTCAGGAAGCAGGTATCCTGTTACCTTAGCCCACAGCATGCCTGGTAACTTGCTGTTGCCCGGAGGCACGGCTTGTTGTGAGGCTGGGCTTGTTGTGAGGCTCTGGTGTCTGAGGCTCTGGTGTGCTGACGTTCTAGCTTGTAGCTGAGCATGGTGAGTGTCCTATGGCCTACTCCTTTTTTCATAACCCTGCATGTTAAGTAGAAGTGTGCTGGTCTTGCCATTCGTGGCCCTGATGGGGTTACTTGTAGCTGGATACTTTTGTTTCTGGAGTACATATTGGGGAAGAATATCTGAGAAGGGCAAGATAGGAGTTAAAACCATAAAGGCAGGGAGGCATTCTTGAAAACCAGGGTTTAGATTTGGTACTGTGGGCCACAAGGAACTACAATGAGCTCTTGAAATGTGATTAATACTCCATGGTAACCCCAATGACGAGCACTGGATCTGACACATGTAGACATCCAGTTAAATGAAGGAACAGTTGGCAAAGGAATGAATTGGAAGTTTGAGAGGCAAGAAAACTTAGAACAAATATCCCCAAGAGTCAGTGTTGGGTGGATCAAAGTCCATAAGCTTTGTAGGTAGAAACACCTGCATTTGTAGTTCAGCTCTGACCTGCTATTTAAACTTCTCCAACACACACTTTCGTTGTTTTTGATGGAAGTAGTGATACTGGTTTGTGGGGTTTGTAATTGGTATTTATATCTAGCACTGAGGCTGGTACTCCCTGAACATTGGCCAGTATTATTACTCAGTGCTTTCTCTTTGGGTCTCCTCTGATCCGGTCCCATGAGGTAGGCAGGGCAGGCCTTATCAATGCCGTTTGCAAATGAAGATCCTGAGGCCCAATGAGCTGCCTTTCCTGGAAACCTTCCCTCTTTGCATAGTCAGCCCTACTGTTTCCTCTAAGCCTTTCTCTTTCATGAGGTCACTGACCCTGTAAATACAGGAGAAGGAGAGGATGGGGTGCGGTGGGCATTTGGTGGCTCTGCTCCCTTGGTAAATTGCTGAATTTTATTCTGAGGTAAATGTAGGGTTGCAATGCATATATTTGACAGCTTTCTCTGACTGAGACCTCTGGTAGGCACGTCTGCTATGCAGGTGAATCTGAGGTAGGGGAATTCACTGAGGACCTACTGTGTGCCAACCTTTGGTCTGGGTGCTTCAAATACCTTACTCCTGACCACAAGCTTGCAAAATGGGCCGTATTGTCCTCAACTGACATAGAAGGCTGAAAGATGTGAAGTGACTTGTGATCACAAAGTCTACACCTTTTCTTTTGACAGTTCTGGCCCCATTAGTACATATCATACATACATACCATATGTATCATGTATAGATACCATGCATACATACTGTGTACCTTCTGGGCCTCACCTCACTGTCTTAGACTCCTGCTGGCCAGCGGTGTGGTACAGTGCATGTGGCCACGTGCACGTAGACTAACTTGGACTCAATTCTCGTTTTCCAGGCACTCTCTCAGCTCTTTGGCCTGCTGCCGTGGCCTTGGTGGCACCCTCCTTCAGTCGTCAGCCCCGGGCTTCCACCGCCCATGCAGCCCTCCATGGCCGCTGCTGAGGGCCTCAGCAACTCCCTTTTTGGAGTCTATACACTCCCTAACTTCAAGTTCCAGCCACGACGTGAGAGTGTGGACTGGAGGCGCATTAGTGCTCTGGATGTGGAACGTGTGGCACGGGAGCTGGATGTGGCCACCCTACAAGAGAACATCACTGGCGTCACCTTCTGTAACCTGGACAAGGAGACGTGCAGCCGCTGTGGGCAGCCTGTGGACCCAGTGTTGCTGAAGGTGCTGCGCCTGGCACAGCTCATCATCGAGTACCTGCTGCACTGCCAGGACTGCTTGAGTGCCAGTGTTGCCCAGCTTGAGGCCAGGCTGCAGACCAGCCTGGGTCAGCAGGAGCGTGGTCAGCAGGAGCTGGGCCGCCAGGCCAATGAGCTCAAGGGTGTGAGAGAGGAGAGCCGTCGGCGCCGCAAGATGATCAGTACTTTGCAGCAGCTGCTCCTACAGACAGGCACCCATAGCTACCACACGGTGAGCAGTCTCCAGCAGGGGACAGTGGGAAGGCTGTGAACCCCAGACTCCAGACTATATCCTGCACCCTGAGGCCATGGTGGGTGGGGGTGGAGGGAGGCCTTCTCACTGGTTTAGAGCAGATTATAGAGATGCTTTTCATGGTCAGAGAGTCCAACGGGGTCTGATCAGGTTCTATAGGGTGTGTGTTTGTGTGAGACTACAAGTTTATGGAGACTACAAGTAGACCCTGACTTAGGATGGGGTTCCATTCATAAGACTCCTTTATAAGTTGGTCCTGAGGTAAGTTGAATACCTTTTAAATATTTTTTTTCTTCTCATTTTTACTATCAATATTTTTAAAATCCAAATTTGAACGTCTGTGAGTTAACCTCAGATAACCTCAGCAAATTATGTGTTCTACAACATTGTATGTAGTACATATTACTTAATGAAAAGATGACAAAAAAACCAAAGTGGTGGTTGTAAGTATGCTTTGTTGTAACTGAAATAGGTCATAAGTTGGGGACTACTGTGTGTGCCTAGAATGCGTATGTATTTATGGAGAGGGTATGTGTTTGGTGTTTATATGCGTGAATGTCTGGAGGATGTGTGTGCTTTATGGATGGTGTGAATATGTGTGTGTGTGTCTAATGTGTGCATGTGAATGTTTAGAGGGTGTATCTGTGTATAGTGTGTGTGTGTGTGCATGTGTGTATAGTGTAATATGTGCTTGTTTGTGTGTTGTTTTTAAGTGCCATTGAGTTGATTCTGACTCATAGCGACCCTGTATAGGGTTTGAACTGCCCACCTGTGGTTAGCGTGGTTAGTAGTCCAGTGCTTATCCTATAGTGTCCCAACAGGGCTCTGTTGTATGTACGAGTGTATGTAACCAAAAACAAAATGAAACAAAAAACAAAACCAAACCTATTGCCAGCAAGTCAATTCCAACTCAAACCGTCCCTTTAGAACATAGCAGAACCTCCCCATAGGATTTTT